AATTTCAGCAGCCTCAAATTTCACAAGTGTTAAAAGTACCTCACGAAAACTCAATTTGGGGGGGGGGGAAAACCTTAGACTTGATTAAAATTCACTCATTTACATATCCTGAACTTTAAAAAGAAAGAAGTACATGTGACTGAAGTCCACTTGTCACGAAGCAAAGCTACGGTGGCAGGTTTTGCATCTTCAGCTGACACTGTAGTTCTGTGCTGCAGGCAGCGCCAAGGAGACGCAGACGCTGCACGGAGCCGCCTACGAAGCTGAGCGCCGACTGCCCAGCACCGCGACATTAACCCCAACGTACTCCTTTGCAACTTCAGACAAATCCCAAGAGTTTCAAACCAGCTAAATAGAGAACTTCTGGAACCAGAAATTGCTTTTGCGTTTCACTATTTCTTAAGATAATTCATATGGGGGTTTTTATTGGGTTTTGGGGGGTTTGTGACCCAAACCCCAAGTCAGATTTTGTCAGGCTGGCAGCAGTAACCAGGGTAGCGACCATCCCCTTTCAGACACATCACCAGCCAGCTAACGGCTGCACCAAACACTCGGTATCAAATCTGAACATTTGCATAGTTTTAATAATTTAAATCTCTGTACACTTTAACTTTTCAAACTAACTCCAAGAGCTGGAATTCTGCTCAACTAACATTTACCTTTTTTTTTTTTTTTTTTAAAAACATCCATTATTTTGCAGTATTACTTGAACTGTAAAGAGCCAAGATGCCATAAAAAATTGTTCTACAGAAATGCCTTTCCCCCTTCGCCCAAAGTAATTGCTGGATTATAAAGACAGAACATAAGCGAGGTTTTAAGTGTTTTGTTCTTAAGGAGAGGCTCGCTCTGGCTCGGCTGTCTGAGCAGCTCCCCTCGCAGTTTTGTCTCAAGCCCGGAGAGGGCAGAGCAGCGCGCAGCAACCACAGCAGAATGTTTCGAGCGCTGCAGTCAGACGCAATTCGCCCCTGCAGCGAAGGCCCGGCTCGGGCTGTCACGCGTGGCCACAAACATAAAACACGAACACGACAACATTTGATAAAGTCATTTTAATGGAAAATGTAAAACCCCTTTCAACTTCAATGTACAAAGCATGTGTAACACTTGCACTTTTAACAAATTAAAGCAAGCCAATGTTTTAAAAAAATACATCATTGAATGTATATATGTATATATTTACATAGCATATTAAGTTTAATATTTAGCTTTAAAAGTTCACATAAATTTTACCAAAATGAGACAATTTTTAAATAAATTACACCTTTTGAAAACGTTTAATTGTACACTGAATAGCTTCAATAAAATACTGAAGTGTCTGTATTTAATATCTACTTTATATACTTTCTATTTTACAAAGTTTACAATTATTTGGCAGTAATTTTCAGATTATGACATGACTGCTGTGCGGACTCAGCAAGATCCCAAATGCAGGCAATAGCTGGTGTTTGTGTCCTACTCTCACAGTAACTGTCTCAATGTAGTGAAAAATATCTGAATTATTTTAGCAAACTGTACAAGTCACATTTACATTTGATCAACAATATAGCATAGAATTTTGTGGTTTTTTTCCAAAAATAAATACATCATCTTAAATCTTTGACATTTCACAAACTCCATGTACATTATAATACAGGACAGCAGAACGCTGCGTAATTGTTTGCAAGTCTAACATGTAATCACAGTGGCTGTGATATGAAGCTCTACCGTTGCAGTGTCATTAACAAGTAAATACGATGACTACGTTTTCTTGGCACTGATGGTTTGTGAAGCTTGAATTAGTGTGCATACTGTTCATGTATTAGAAAAAATAACCTCCGACTGGTGTTAACACAAAAAAGCAGAGCGCGCTTAGTTTTCATCCATATCTTCCATTTCACCTTCATGAATCTTCAAGGCTCTCACCATTTCTTTAACCGCATGATACAAGATATTTTTAACCTGCAAGAACAGCAGACACGTTTTAGTACAGCCTACGACTATGGAACTCTCCAAAGCGACCATCTTTAGGCCTCAGCCCTAAGCCTAGTGGATGGAAAAAACCAGGAAGGCTACATCAAACCAGTGCAAAAGGAAAGACCTTTTTACACATTTTGAAATGGAACGCGAAATAAATAAAACCAGCGGCTCAAGGGAGAGTCATGGAGCCCCTGGCATTCACGCTGCTGCTCATTGTTATTCTGTGTGAACAGCAGCGAGGAAGTAGCTCCACGCACCGCGCCGCATCTCAATGAGCTTGAGCACGCCCTGCCTTCGCAACAGCTTCCAGAGCAGAATTCATTTCCTACCTGCAGTTTATCATCATAATTGATTTCTTCCTTTGACAGCCTCAGCTCCTGCGTTAAGTGAAATGACTGTACAAGATGTTCTGGAGACACAAAGTCTTCAGTTACTTGAACGCAGCTGTGAAAATTTTGCACCTATCCAAAACAACAAGAGACTGATAATTAGTATTTTGGGGTTATTCTTTGGCAGAGACACCTGAGAACAGAGCGGGCCTCGAGATGTCTGAAACCACAAGCTAATCAAGCTAAGGGCGTCTATACGCTTTATCTAGAGAGCAATTATTTGACTTATCTAAGTCAGCTTCTGGCAAAAGGCACGCTTTGAACAATGCGCATCTGCCTGTGCTCCGACGCTTCTTCCTGTAGCCTTCAACCTCCTCCGGTGGGTCACTCCACCCTTCCACCAGCTGCGCAGGCACCGCTGCCGGGCGCTACTCCCGCACGGCCATCTCCAGCACGCCGCAGACCCACTCGGCAGCAGCCCTGCCCTGCAGGACCCGGCTCCTCCCTGGTGAAAGCTTTCCCCCCCACCCTGCCCAACCCAACTGGCCACATTCGCTGGAAAGTAACTGTCCGTGGAAATATTTAAAAGAAAAAAAACACGAACAAAGGGGCAGGTTCAGAACAGGCGACGGGGGGGAAGCACTTTCTTTTTTCCCTAAACACTACTTCTTACTGATGAAGAGGTAACTACCGAGAGAAATGGGCACCATCTCCAGCCAACCAGGTCGTACCTGGAGAACGAGGGAAAGGACAAATCGCCTCCTGGTTGTGACCTGACTACCAACTCCTGTTTGTCCTCTTCAGAAACACACAGCAGCAGGTTTTCACTCCTCAACCCTTAGAAATTAGTGTGCTTCTTCAGCGTGTCAAAAACCTTGTTTTCCCAAATTCTAACTGCTCATGAAGTTGTGCAACGTCAATTCTGCAAATTTACCAAAGCCTGGGGGGTGAGGAGGGAGCGCCTTTGCCACTCCAGCAAATGAAGTCCCACCCTGCTCAGTACTGATGAAGATCTGTGAATTTTAAGCTCAAGCCTAGCAAAATCTGGAGTTTTTTTAACGCATGCTCTAAAATTTCCATTGTGGTACCTGACATTCAGAAAACCTTTGGGGCCTACGCAGTTGAGGATACAGCACTTTATTTAAAAATTATGATGTTCTTCAAAACCGCTGCCCAAGTCTGATTTCTAAGGCTGGCTTGCCCCTTCACAGGTGAAATCCCAGCGGTTAACCCCGAGCTCAACACTAGTGTTGTACGTGGGGTTTCTGCGGCCTCGTCATCATCAAGGACAAAGCAGCGCCGTTCCCTCCCACAGCTTAATCGAAAGAGAAACCATTGCGGAGTTTGTTGATGCCACACAACTTGCAAACGGCAGAAAGCCGGGAGTAAGGAAACGGCTGCAGAAGTGCCACCGCGAGGCTCCCACCAGCATCGGGGGAATTTCCTAGAGCTTCGGCCGAAGTGTCTCCGCGCTGCGCAGCCGGGCTGCCGGCTCCAGCCCCCTCCTCCCTTCCCACGCAGACTTCTCACCCGTTTCAAGTCTCTACCTGCCCTTGTTTTCCTTTCCACCCCATGCAAATCCCACACCGCTCTTTCACCGTCTCCTCACCGAGACAAGATTTTACTGATTCCCTCTCCCTCCAATGCAGAACAGGCAGTATTTGTTGCCCTTAGATCTTCTATTCTGCTGTGCCTTAAACCCTCCTTCCCTTCCAGGGCCTTTCTTATTGGTCTGCAAGTCTGGGGGGAAGACAGATTTTACCCGGCCAGTCTGGTACTTGGCATGGGAATGCCCTGCTGGCAGCCCACAGGCAGGTTTTTTTATAATATTTCTGATACAAGCTGATATAATGACACATGCAAATTAATATGTTTAGCAACGATTCCCCTGAGGTTCGCAGGGCGAGGACTGCAGCACTCTCACGACTGCGCCAGTTCCAGCTGAACCAAGAGAACAGCTTTGCCCGCAGCCCACGCAGAGCAGGGGTTTCCAGCGGGGCCCAGGAGTCGGAAAAGCCTCAGAGCAGGGCCAGGGTGGGAAAGGGCCGCCCGCCCCCACGGCTCCTCGCCGCACAGGCGCCTCCCTCGCTCCTTACGCCCAGGATCAGCCCCTTCCCGCACGGCTCGGCTCCGGGGCCAGCGCTCAGCCCGGCAGCTGCACATCCGCACCTCCCAGACCTTTAGCCTACATCCTTATCGTCACATCGCCAGGATGTCGCATTACCTCCAGCGTGTTCTTCTACAATACATAATCCTGCTGTTCCATCAAGATAATACCACTATAAAAAACAACATTATAATAACCTGTTCTACTATGAACAACACGTTTCAATCACTGACTCAAGTATTTCTAGCTTTTAATTTATCACTAGAATATTTTATAAATTTGGAGTCACCAAATTAAAACCAGGAGGGCATTCCCAGAGGACGACTGCGATACAGGGTGACCCAGAGTGGAGCAGCAGAAAGAGCAAATCATTCACAAGCATATCATTCGCATGAAGAAAATTCATCCAATGGTAAAACCTCCCTTTTTTTAGCTGGGGAAGTTTCCAAGGAGAGCCGAGGGCTCGCGGTTAGAAGTGCCAGAGAGAGAACAAGGCCCAGACGTTAGCAAGGCAGGGGACGCTTCGGAGCGCCCCGGCTCGCCGAGCCAAGGGGAAAGGCGATAGAGCCCTACCGCACACCACTCGCAGCACGCTCAGGGAAGCGTCTGCAGAGGAGACTGGTCCAACGCCAAATCTATTTCTGGTTTCCCCCCCCGAGCGCACCATTCCCTCCGCAAGGGATACTGGCAAGGCCACTCCGACCACCACCGCTCACAGGAGTGGCTCTTCCCTCCCACCCCACCACAGGAATAGTTTGACTTTACGGGGGGACGTGACCGCTGTCTGCAAGTACGCGGGGAGGAGGGGGAAACCTGGGAAGCAAGAGGCATGCTTTATGCTACCATAAAATACTGACAAATTCCTTTAAAAGCTAGACATGAATCCACAGAAGCTGGAGGAACAAAAAAAAAAAAAAAAAAAAGACTGCCTAGAAGAAATACACACACCCTCCTCCATGTTAGAGCAGTGAAATTCTAGACCAGGATGTCAGAAGCAGCAGCGTGACAACAGTCCCAGCTGGCTGCAGGATGGAGGTGTCTGAGCTACCCTACGCAGTGACCCCAGGCAGCCAGGCTCCCTAACTCCATCCCTCAGCCTGATTTCTTCTGCTCCACCACATTATCAAAGAGAAATACAAATAAAAATGTTAATAATTAAAGATTCATGATTGCACGTAAACCTGAAACACTTAACATGTGAACTTAACCTGGCATGTATCCTTGTTCAGGCTTATTTTTAAGTGTTTAAATGTGCTTTGTATATATGAAGTGTTGGCGCTGATCCCTAAGGTCAGTATTTATGCATCTCTATAGAGCGAGTACCATACACGTACATGAAAGAACACGATGCTTTCATTTCCTCCTACGTGGCAGATTCACGGGAACTTCTTACTGAAGATGAAAAGGTTCTCAGCTTCACCCACTAAGGTTTAAAAACACCATGTTATTAACTCCTTGGTGCCAGAAGCTAGAATGTTACCACTTCAAAAGCAATCTGGAGTTTAAAGCCAAGGAGATAAAGGTAAGAGTGGTCTTATTTTTGGTCCTTAAACCTATGAACTGCAGGGAAGCCTGGAACAGTCTGGTTTGTATTCTGCATGCCTTTATATAATGCCACATGCTACATAAAACGAATTTCCCAGTTTGTTATTTTCCGTGGGTTCCCTTTTCACTCTTGTATCTGGGATATCTCCCGTATTTTGAGAGATCAGAGTAAGGTTACTGGAGGATGCAATACAAATCTTATCGACTCTGGGAGTCCGGACTGCTTTAGCCTAACAGGAGCTAGTAAGAGCAACATCAACGCCAGACATGCCTTCACCTTTGGGAAGTGACATCAAGCCCTGGATACACGGTACAGGGAAAGGCAACCTCCAACAACCCAAGATTTGGTCACCTGTTTCCCCCCGCCCTCCTTTATTTTGCCTGAGAACAAATCGACACAGATCACCAGGGTTAACATACCACCACGTGAAACCCATCTGAAGACTCTGCAACGACAAGGGAATCTGGTCTGAGCAAGGTACCCATTGCTTTCAGTGCCCCAGCAACTGACCCAGCCAGCAGACAGATTAGGGACGCAGCACCTGCCATCAGTACAACCCAGTATTCTTTTCCACAGAGAAAACCCTACTGCCCTGGTCACGGTGACACGGTGAACCATTGCTTCCTCTCCGCCCCAAAGAGGCAGCGGTTGGAAGCTGATCTGCAGATCAGAAACCAAATAGCATCTTCTTCAGAAAGGCCTGGCCTTGCTTGACCCCGGGTGGAGATCAATGATAAATCTTTAACAGCAAGATGGTTTACAACCCCTGCTGCAGGGTGGGGATGCTCCTCATTCCTTGACAGTCAGCTACCTAATTAGCGGCGCTTGACAGCTGGCAAGACAGCAAGCTCCATTTCCTGGTGGAACAGGAAAAGGTTCATGGAGTGAAGAAATAAATTAACCTAGAACTGCCCAAAAAGTTTGAACAATTGTGCCTTCTTCCTCTTTTCACCAAGGAGCAGCAGTCTGGAGACTGTGAGAAAAAATCCCACCAAACAAAGTGAAGTAACAAAGCCTACGTGCCAGGAGAGGACTGAAGCTTGCCACACAAATCCACACCGTTTCTCCAGAACTGCCCTACTGGCAGTACCTCTTCTTCCATAACTGAGAATTAAATCAGCCCAGCTGCTGCAAAGGTGCTACCACTCTTTTGGATGGTAAGGAAAGCTGCTGAAGGGGCAGAGGTGGCTCCTGGTGACTGATGCACCTTCTGTGTGAAAAGGAACTTAACCTGGAGCAGGAAAACAACCTCCACATCCTGGTACAGAAGCATCTTGTTACACCCAAACTGTCTCTACAATTCTCCTACGGCTGAAGACAGAAACAGCGATACCTGACATCCAGGTATTTGTATCTGCTTGGGTTGCTCCCCCTGCCTCCGGGCGTAGGTTAACTTTTCCTTTAGGAGGAAAAAAAATACTAACCTGAATTTGCCATAACTAACACCAGTTTATTTAGAATTTTGCTAATGAAATGAGAATTGGAAAAAAGTGGTTAATAATAGTCTGCTCATTTTTCATCTTAAAGGAAAAAAGGAACAGTATTATTTCAAGCATTCGAGTTGCTGTATGTTAGTACTGGCTCATCAGCTATACAAGCAGATGTACCTTACACTTATTATACATTCCTACACACTAACAGCTACCAGTAGTAGTTGCGTCTTTGAAAAAAGTTATTTGATTGTATTTATGTTATTTAATTCTGTGTGTCTTTAAACAGATGTACATTACCTGATGAAGTGCTCCTGCTGGTAGAATAACAGCATCACCAAGAAACTGAATAACCGTACAGGTTTTTACTCCGTATTCTTCAAGAAGCCTTTGGCGAAGTTTTTTGTTCACGTACCAACTCTGATCACGTATTGGATCATGCTCTGGTAAAACTTCTAAGCCTTGCTCTTTCGCTATCTGTAAGTACAGAAAAGATCCCAAGTCACTTTAAAAAGAAGCGGAACCTGTTGCTGGTAAGCTGTAAGCATACCTAACTTACACTTACGCAATGCTACTGTGTTCCCAGTACCCAAACCAGAATTTTAGTTAGGTATTCAAAAGGACCTCAAAGGAACTGGGAAGTCCCACTGAACTGAAGACATCTGCAGAACTCCCACTCCAAAATGTAGACCTTTGAAGAACTCAGCACAATAACCTACTAATAAGCAACACGCTGTGTGACTTCTTTCATCAAGAACATAAAATCTGACCTCAGGAGTTCCTGTGCTGCCGATTCCTCAAGCTTACAACCTTCAGTTTTGACACAGACACACACCACCATAACCTCAGCTCAGGAAACGAGCAGCAGATAAAGTAAGGTTCATACGGCCCTGGGCAGCCTGCTCTAGGCAACTCCGCTTGAGCACCGGGCTGGACAAAAGGACCTCAAGAGGTCTCCTTCCAATCTCAACCACTCTGTAGTTATTTTCCTACCATCCCATCAAGGAGTTGGGAAAAAATGATGAACATTAAAAAAAAAAAACCCTTCCTGACAGCAGTAGACTTAACTGCAACAATGATTTCTCATCAAGTTAACCACAGGGGAACAAATATTACCCTTAATCAATTGCTAATTAATGAATCATAGTGACTAAAGGAAAAAAAGTTACTGAAGATAAAAAACCCCCCACATATCTAATCCATCTGTCATGATTCAGGAGACAATTATCTCATTAAAAGCACAAGATTTTTATTCATATTGATACTAAATATACTTAATTATGTGATGCAGAGCTTGAAACTGTTCTTGTGTATTATCACCTCTCTTCTGTACTAAACGAGATACTGAGATTTCGCCTCTTGTCAGCAGGCAAAGCGGTCCCAAGGTCTAAGTCATCAATTCATCTCCGATTCAGTATTTCAGTTATACCACCACACCAAAACCACAAGGCGGTACACAATTCACTTTGGATACCATGGCAAGCTGCGGCAGACTTTATTGCACAGCGTCTTATGCGCTTCTGTTTTAAACCTGCTGCTCAAAGTCTCACAATATCCCTTAATTGCTCTAAAGTAGAAACGCTGAATAATACAATAATACTTAATGTCCACCTATTCCCTTGCATTTGTGACTTTGTTCACAACTCTCTTTCCCAAACTGAAGGGCCACCATCTACTTTATGAGCACCTACTTTTTGAATGAACAGAAAAGCCTCGCTGTAGAATTCATAATTTCCTGGAATTAGCTGTATTTTGTTTACTAGTGCTCATTTTTCCCCACAGTTCGGCTTGCCAAAGCGTTTGAGTCGCCATAGGACAGCTGCCCTGGGACTGAAACACTGCCTCATTGTCCAAGAGGATCTTTAGTGTGGAATTTCTTAGGCTCTTCCTGCTCGCAGCAGAGACCTTGGCCTCCAGCCTGTTTATGGACCCCTCTGGTTTAGCCAATTAAAACTCATCGGATTTTTTTCCCACAGTGAAAGACAGCAGACTACTTTTCCTCAAGCAACCACTTCAGTGATATTTTGGTATTTCTATGTCATCCATCAAGACTGCCTTCTAGAACATGAAAACATGCTAAAGACAGGGCACAGAAAACTGCTTCCAAGATGGGATATCTCTAAATTTAATGCCACTGATGACTACCCATGGCTCAGTGGCGGATGTTCATCCTACATGGTAAGTAACAACCTGAAAGGTCCTGATGTGGCTCTAACTTGTTCATCACGTGCGGCCGAAGGAAAACCTGCACCGTAGCCAACGCTGAAGAGGCTCACTGCCCTTGGGTACGTTATCCCCCACCACTTTCATCTTCACTGAGAGCCAAGGCGTGTTCTTTGAGCCAACTGACGTGACACATAGACTCCTTACAAAAATCAGTGGCTGCTGGGGGTTTTTGCATGGGACAATTCACAAAAATTTCAGCATCTGATAATGCAAGAATGGATCAGTGACAGAAAAACATTATCCTACAAATGCTAATACTAAAAAAGTAAAATTATCCTTTGTATTGGAGAAGGACAAGAATAGATCTCCATGCTCTCCCGAGTGTTCAGTTTGCAGGCTGCCTGTACTCTTCAGAGGTGAGTATGTATCATGTTGCGTATGTTTTGTTGACTGATGTAGCAGGTCAATTATAGTTTATGTTATGTGCTATAAAGGAAAGAATTTTGCTTCCCCCGGCACAGGAGTGGGGTTTGTGGTTTCTGCCAGCCCCCTTTGATTTACCAGTTACTTGGATTATATTTGTCAAATATCTACTATAAATCTAACCTTTTGCAGAAACTCCCTTATCTTGTCAGCATCTTTGCCAGCATAAATGTGCCATAAAGCACCAGGTAATTCACTTGAATCTTTCAATCGCTTCCGTAAAAGGTCATCCAAATCTTCCTCTTCAAACTTCTTCAAAACTCCTAAGATTCAACAAAAATATTTTTTAGAAGTGAGACAGAGGAACAAAGATGAAACTAAACATCTCCGTGTTGATTTTCTTGGGAGACTGAGCAGATACACTTTGCTGAATACAACAGAAGTCCCGAAGTGATCCTCTTGTTCAGTGTTTGTAATTCGTTACTAGAACAGGAAAGCCATAAATAACTTAAAAATAACATTGAATTTTAAACTTTTTTACACCTCTTCAATTTTATAGAACACATTCTCCTGCCTGAAATAAAGAAGCAGGACTAGCACCAAAAAATTAAAAATGAAAAAGGTGTTTTCCTGCAGTCAGCAAAAGCAGTGGTTTGCGTGCTGTTCTGCAGCAGCTGAGCTCCCCAATATGCTGAAGATTCGCTGCTATTGACTCGGTGCATAAGCAAGTGAAAACAAAGCAAATAAAAATACAGCAAACCTTACTGCAGCTCTATTAGTCACATCCAAAATCTACATTTGCTGATTACAGAACGAGAGGACAAAAGAATAAGGGGAAAGAAACAAAACTATTTCAGGGACTTAAAGACTGTTTCACATAAGCAATAAACCTCATACAGAGGACTAACACCAATTTAAGCTCTCCGGTGCTGAAAAATTACATTACAGTCCAAATTCAATAGAGCAAACACAGTGCATCCAGAGGGAGCAGAATAAACAGAAGGTTTGGCAAATGCATCATCCTGACATAACTGTTAGAACCACCCCAGCTTCCAGAGAAAATCCTTCATCCTGCACTTTCATTAGCTCTGCCAGACCCAGCACAGAACGGCACATCAATTATAGGTAATGGCAAAAAAAGTGAAAAGAGTTTGAAATACCATTTCATAATTCATAAACTGCGGTGTATTTTATGCAGAATTAATGCGCACAAATTCTTGAAACAGAGAATCTCCCAGGTTTAAGCAAGTACTTATGGACATCTTTCATCTGCTTCAGAAGAACAGTGCCAACTTTGAAAGTGGCAGGTCATCCAAGCCCATCTACATCTCTTACAATAAGCCTCCCTTTACCTGATTTGGAAAGTACTCCATTTCCTTTCGCTATGCCAACATAAACAAGGATGTTCACGACATCAGAAACTTCAATATGGAGATTTGTGGTTCCTATATCATGGTCTTTAGTAGCAGCCACACCTATGTTACAAGATAAAATTAAGATTTTTTTGTCTTGCATATTCACCTTCAAACAGAAACGTGCAACAGGTAACTGAGAAGAAATCTCCAAAAGCGCACCAAGCATCGCAGAAAAGTGTTTTGTGTACAGACAGGCTTTAATGCGAGATTGCTGATGCACACACTACAAGTGTGCTTTTGCTGCACTTGCTAAGCAAGACGACGTTACTTTTTAATAAAGACCTTGAGACATCTCTTAGCCCAGGTAACTGTCCCCACGTAGCAGCTGTATCAGAACAAAACACATTTCAGCAGAAAACCAAAGACATTTCCTGACCACTGTGCTTCTTTCCAATTTTTCAACCCCTCGGGTTGCTCAGGGCAGAATATTAAGTCCAATAAATACACAAGGTTATCAAATCAAATGTGTTGCTTTTATGCCTGCCTATAAGCTGAGGTCTTAACCAAAAGAAATCCCCAAGCAAAGAGGAAAATTAATTTTAGTTCTAAGAGGTGAAAACATACATGCTTAAATCAAAAGGACATTTCAGAACACTAAGTCTTGCAGTGGGATTACATAAAAGTGTCATTCATGATTCAGTTCTTCAGACCCATGCCTTGATGACCATCATTAATGTTTATTTCAAAGGACATCCAGAGAAGTTTTTTAAATCGAAGCCACGATGCTACAAACTACAACTCATTCCTTGTCCTATTACGACAATTTGTAAAACAGAATTGAACACATTTGTTTGCAGAAGAGCAGCTGGAAAAAGTCTGAGGGAAACAACCTTTTCTGAATAGGTTTTTTGAGTGAACAGCATACAAGTTGTGAGAAAAATGCTGAGATTTATTTATGACCAGAATTACAAACACAATAGTCTTCATGAAGTATTCTGTCATATGGCATTATCAAAGACAGGATCTCTCTTTGCGTAGTAGTAGTAACCATTTATACACTTCAAAAGACTGCAACAGGACAAGAAAAGGTAGAAAGAAATGCAGAAACAACCTCTCATGCCCGAGGTGCGTGTAGCACTAATACGCAAGCCAGTGAAGTATTTCTCTGACATTCATTGAACAATTATCCTGCAAGCAAGCTCAGCTTTCTATGAAGCATTATTATGTGTTACAGTCTACATTTCTAAGGGAAGTGGTAACCGATACACTTCCAGGGCATACTCACCATATGCACTGCACAGTCTGGGTCCCAAATCTGGACGGACAAAAAATCCTGGCAGATGAGAAGCCAAGTTCAGCTTTCCTTCTGGGCTACAATATTCAGGCAAGGGTAAACTTTTTAATAAGTCCTCGTATCTGGAGGAGAAAAGAAGAATGCAATTGAATTTGTGTCATTACACAGAGAGAAAAAAAAAAACCCAAACCCGCTGGAGATTGACTTAAGAATATCTAATATCAAACTCAAATACCTTGCAGGCATCATAGCCTTGAAATCTTCACCAGAAGGCCAATCTTTCAGTTTTAGTAGAGCTGTTTCCCCATTTTTTATTTTCTGCCGTTCTGCAAGTAACGTAGAAATTACTAAAAACGAACACACTGGAGGTGTTTTACTTTATTCAGCTAAAACATATAACTGAACTCTTTAACTTGTCTATAAAGATTTCATCTACAAAACAGGAGATTAATTTCGAGACTCAGCAGGATACAAACCAAACTCAACTAGCTGAGGAACAAAGACATCTGTCAGACCTAACCGGTTTATTAGTGTATCTTTAATTCTGCAAAGGTAAAAAAAATGCACGTTTCTATCACATTCTCTGGAAACAGATTACCTACAGCTTTCTTTTTGAACTAATAGTTTCTTCAAAGCCTCAAGATACATAAAGAATATTTTTAACTGCAGTTTCTAACACTGTGTTCAGAATCAATGGAATAACATATTTAAAGTAACATACTTGAAACATCTTCAAAACCATCCCAGAACTCCTTGACATTGGTGTTTGAAATAATACTGTCTTTGCAATTCAAGATATCAGCTTGCTGGTTTCCAAAATCTAGACTAATTGATTCCGCTTTCCACAGGCTGAAGTTCATTTTCTTATGCATACCGGACACTAAAACAGGCTGTAAAAAATAAAATATAATAAAAAAAAAATCAGTACTTATCCTTTCCAAAGTACACCTCCTTCAGTTAAACTGGAGTACAAATGCATCCAAAACACACACTGAAGATCTTGGCCCTACTGAGCTCTTAACACTCCCTCCAACAGCAACCATACCCAAGATGTCATACACACATCTTTTGGGAATTTGAGTCTCCGTAACAGTAATTTCTTATTTATTATTAGCAGTTAACTGACGTTCAAACTGCACAAGGTTCATATGTGGGCTACCCCGACAAGCTTTTGCCCACTGCTAACAACACGTTTTCAAACATGGAGTCAGGCAAATTTGTCCTTTAGCACAACTCCCCCAGAGTTCACACTGAGGTCACTTCACAGGCCGAACGGCACAATACCTACCCTTCCTTGTTTCCAGCACTCTTTGAAGAGCTTCCAGTTGTTGTTGTTTTTATGGTCTCTGAGCCACAAAACATGCTTGTCACAGATCCACGAATACTGAATATCACTGTACAGTTTACTGCAGTCATCCTGAATACATTTTCTGTCATCCTTTGGCTCATCTTTTATTTCAGATTTTACATTTATCTTTGGTGCTCTATTTGGTGGAATCTTGTTTTCTACTACTGAAGCAATTATGTCATCGAGAATGTTTGGCATAGTCCTTCCACTCTTGCCACTCTATTAGAAAACAAACAAACATACATACATACGCTTAAACAATGTAAAAGCAAATGAAGTTAATGCAATTCCTTTTGCAGTAGAATGACAACATTTCATTACCAATTAGAAGCTTGCAGTTACCTACTTCCTTTGTAGTAAACTGCATGCATTCTTACATGGGAAAGTTTGAAATACATGCAGTTATTACAAAACTCAATATATAGGAATCTTCCTTTGCTTTGTCAGGTTGAGGCTTTATCTAACTTCATTAACATTTTACAAATGACAGAGATTTTCAAATCCTGATATAAAAAACGCGCATCTTGTAAACACTTACTGCTGTTCCTGTAGAGTAAACTGGAGCAAAAGCAATACCAGCATCCGTAGAACCTAGACGCAGTTTGCCTGCTGTTGTAGTTAATAGATCTCGTAAGGTTGAGCCCTGCTCGTTGTTCTGGGATGCAGGAGGGGAGCTTTTACAGTTTTGGGACTCCAAATTATCCTGGTCTTTCTCCTCTTTTGAGTGTTTTCCAGAAGGACATTCTTTGTTCTCTAAAACAACAATAATCATTGGACATTTACACTGTTGTATCACAATGCAGACATAGGAACAGCGCCAGTATCCTGCATTTTATAGTGGTCGTAATATACTGTAGCACTAGTGCTTTATTCACCTGAAAACACACCAGAGGATGAACTAGATCCTTCAAAATGCAGTGTGACCATGAAAAGGCCTTCCTCAGCATCTCAGACATGCAGCTGAGTACCTGTCACAAATGAGAGATGCTGTAGCTGGAAATTCTGCCACACTACACATGCATTCCACTAGTGGCTCTTCTGGTAACAGATTCTGATGCCACCAGGAGAAGGCATTGCAGTTTCAAGATTGAAATTAAGTGGGAAAAGAACATAATCTTTTATTTTTGTTGAACAGAAAACGGTGTGAATTTTTCCTAATTAACTGAATTATGTATCACTGGTGCCGCCAAAGTCATGGACATGGTACAATTTCAAACATTTACCTTTCTTTTCTTCTCTGGCTTTCTGCTCTGCAAGATCAGCTAACCAATGCAGTGGTGACTGGGATTCAGGCGGTGTTAACTTGCTGTCTGTGCTTACATCACTCCTTGGACTTGTATTACCATTTGTCTCGGACTTTTGAGGAGTACTCTGCTGCTGAGACTCAGGCATGCACAGAGAAATTTTATTACTGTGGTTAAGAACATTCTGCAAAACCTGTAAAGAACAAATTTATTTTTAAGTACATAACTTTTTTTTAATGTACTTCAAAGACAAGGCTAACATTTAACCATCATATACACAAACTAAACTGCAAGTGGTACTATTCAAATACAAACACCTACAGGAACCCGAACATCTGAACAAACTGCGATGTACAAACCCATTTTAGACTCACCTGAGACACACCATTCATTGCAGGGAGCTTGCCAGCTTGCGTGCTCTGCTTGCTGGTACACTGACAATGGGATTTGATTTCAAATTTTTCTCTAATATTGTGCATAGCATCTAGAAGATCTGTCAACACTGGAAAACGATTAAGAAGAAAACCATCAGCAGCTCTCAATCACTTTGTGACTCTCTTTACAATCCACGTGCTGCGATGCTAAAATGCTATCTACAAACCTTTTTAAAATGAAACTATTAAAAATGCTAAATTTAACACTCAAAAAAGCTATAAAAAGACGGTCCAGTTTACCTTAAAGCTCGTGCAGAAAGAGACACGGTCTTTAATTAAGTAATTGCATACTACTCTTCTGAATAATCTAACCTTTACTCTGCATCCCCCTTGCACGGCACGCAAGCAGTAAGCCAGTCATTCATTATTTACTCCTCATTGTTCGACTGGTGCATCATTGCTTCATTTAATAAACCCGTCAAACTACAGACTGAAGTGAGCCACATCCTGACAAAATAATTAGCATGCGATCGTGTAATTTAAGGCTGTCTGGTAATGGGTACGCGCAGAAGAACAAAAGTGAGGTTATGTAGGCAGTCTTCACTATGCCATTTCCAGATGAGTGGTTCACTTCACAGTTTAAAATTAAAACCAGTTTCAGTCTGGAACCTGTCCTTGGGAATGTCACAATTTGCATTTGTTATGGAATTTAACCAACCTTCGTTTCTACCTGAACTAACATGCAACAACCCATAAAATAATGACTGGATCTGTATTTCCAGCTTAAAATAACTTGGGAATTTGCTTACCAAGTTTGAGGGCACATTTGAGTTTTCTATTCTTTGCTCTGCATCAAGGCTGCCAGAGATCACAAGTTGTGCTAGCAACAACCACCATGCTCAACCACACTTCTTTATAACTGGTTATGAGAAAAATTCTGAATTTTGCTGGGTTTAGGATTACTGTTTAGTTTTTCATTTATCACAAGCTATTTCAGATGTCCAACCAAAACCACACATAAATCTCCTTTTTTAATTTTTTTTTTTTGGGGGGGTGGGGGTGGGATGGGACAACACAGTGAAAAACAAATCCCCCCAAATCTGCTGCCACATAACACTACTTGGCAGTACTATTTTAACATTTTCCTTTAACAGCTGAGGTCAGATTTATTAAGTACATTCTGGCTGTTTTATTCTGCTCTGAAAAGGTACAAAACAGTCACAAAAACCAGCCTGAATTTCTTCACTGCCTGTCCCTGAAAGCCCTTCAGACATCTGTGAGCATACTCTCCTCTTTCTCTCCTATCATCTGTGCCCCTTGCTGTTAGCTGCCCAGAATCACTTGCCTTCCTGCAATGATTTGACACAATTTGCAGGTTTTTAAGTGGAAAATGAGAAATTTCAAGAAACAACTCTGGCCTCTCTTCACAGAAAGACCTGGGAAAAAAACCCACATCCTGCTTGTTTGTGGATCTTACCGGAGCCTGGAATAATCTGTGTTGGCATCAGGTGTTTGTGATCATGAGGCTGTCCCTTCACGCACTTCATCCAGGCATACAACTCCTTATCTGCAAAATAACATTGCCAATCGTTTTACTTCACTTACGGTGATAGACAGAGCGAGTTAACAACATTTTTCAGATTTGTTTTAGTTAGAAACTGTTTTTTACACATACTGGAAGTCTTCTGTCCTGGTATCCTGCATGACAAAGATTTGCATGCAATGGCTACTTTTCACAATAAGGAAAGGAATACAGAGTTTTAACAATACTGAAATCTGAAATAACAGCATCTGTAACACAAACACTTGCCAATAACCTCAAAGTTTTGAAGTATATTCCCTTTATTACATGGCCTAAGCCCAAATCCTGTACCGTTGCAGTTGAGGCAGTGAGACCCCCTTGATGAATTCTAACACGGAAAAGAGACACAATTAGGCTGTGCTTGTATGACCCACTTAATTTGACACAATCCATGCTCCAACTAGAAGTGGCTGTCTTGAACCAGAGAAGGCCAAACAAGCCCAAAAGATGGACTTTTAACCGAATCCATTCTCTGATCTGGCCTACCACACAGCTGCAGCCGTGTTACTGGTGGCACCAAGGAGAGGGAAGTTGCATCACGGATTTATGTCAGATTAAAGCAACCATGAAACCACAAGTCTGTATCTACTGGTTGAAAATAGTTTGTGGCAGCAGAGAGGGCCTAACCGGTAGGAAAAAGCGGCTTTCTATAAAGTTTCACGAAGAATGGTCCCTGCCAAAAAATATACAGTGTAAAGACAAGACAGAGAAGGAATGAGAGCGAAAAATGTCTGGCTAAGCAACCAGTCACCGATCTGCTGTGTGATTTGGGGGCAGAAATACAGACGCGATTTCTCTCTCAGCCCCCAGTTTTGAACCCTATCCACTGAACCACTAGTTTTCAGAGACTCTTCAAATCTTTTTATTCGTTTGCTCAGTGTAGCAATGTAAACTAAGGAGAGTACACTAAAGGAAGCACTTAGCAGATTTAAAGAATTATCTTCTTGCACTGCAATAGACAATGTACCAAATGTTCCTTTCAGATAAATATTAGATTTGTTAGCTATTCTGTAGTTTTTGTAACACCTAAGCCATTGAAATATGTAACTGGGCGTGAAAATAAATCAAATCAAACAACAAAACAGCATATATCTACTTCAAGTATTTTATCACTTGAAATGCCATAACATGGCATTCCACTTGATGGTGCCATGAACTGTCTGAAGGTACCAATGGATGCACATTCATTCATTCCTGTAGTAAAAAGCAAGGAGAGAAGTCATTGATAAATATCTGAGTATGGAATATTTAAACCCCCAAGATTCCTGGTAAAGCTGGGGAAAACCAGCATATTCTCTGCTACATTTAGCAACTGTAAAAACAACTACCAGTTCCAGGAAAAATGGTGTAATATGAAGTGCTATTCTATAGAGATGGGTGGGTGGTACTGAACTTTGCAAGAGAGTGCCAAAGAAGAGGGACAGTTCACAGGAATCCTACAGCATCATTAGAAATAAAGGTACAGAGAGGGAAGCTATCGTACTTCTGCTTTTGCATATAATGTTGTGATGAAGAGTAAGGAGAAAGCCTTCCCTGCTAGAAGACTGAAAAGAAGCCTGCTTCTGTATACTGCTTTTTTAAGCTTTGAAGACATTTTGCTAAGATTTTCCTGGCTGGTTAACACGCACACTATAAAAAGCCTCTGACTGCATGTTCCCACCAGGGTAAATAACGTTCGGCGCATATCCCAAGCCACGTCAGATAGATGCACACACATGTACACACACAGACTTCAGCCAATTAAGAGCTGCTGAAGCAGCCTCCAGCATTAAAGCATTAACGACTGTTCTCAGTGTTGGAAAACACCGACATTAGTTCCCTAGAAACTTCGGGCTTTGATGGAAGTCCCTGGGAACATTCTATAACCGCAGTGTAGGAGGCTCTCGCTGCAAGCCAAGGACAAAGTGGATGAGTCTCTCCATTTATTAAAGATCTGCCATCTAACAGTTAAACTTTATTTTACTAACATTTCACATCTGTGACATTATGCTGCTATGACAAACATGGAAATGCTTTTCAAAACAGCTTTGAATCAGTTCCTGGCGCAGTGTTTGACCGCAGGTCTGTGCCAGGGCACGACGCCTGCCACCCAGGGGAAGGCAGCCCTCTCCAACAAGCAGCCTGAGCACCAGTGTCACAGGCAAGGGCTGAACGACCACATCGATCTTCCAAGCCATTCCTG